GACGGTGCTGCCGCCGGCAGCTGGGGCTGCCCAGGGTAACCGCGTGCACCCACCGCAGCCGCGGCCGCTGCTGCCGAGGCGCGGGAACACGGCGGGCCGCGGCTCCTGGGGACCCCAGGAGGGCTGTTTTCGTGGAGCTTCATTCACAAAAAAGGGCCCACAACCCTCCTCGGGGCCCGCAGACTCAGGCCTTCATTGGTCAGTGAGGTGTGACGTCACGAGGACGGAGCCTTTCTACAGGCAGGTACCTAGTGACGCCATAAAGAAAACTCTGAGCGGTTCCGCCAATCAAAGATAAAGTGTGCTCGCGACCCTCCGTCAGCAGGGCAACTTTACTGTGTCTTCTGTGTTCTCTAAGTCGAGACCCTAGTTCCCAGATCTCTTTAGTGGGTCCCCTAAGCTTTCTACAGCTTATGAAGAACTTTGTTTCTTTGGCATGTATATCTTAAAAAGTACTCCTTGATTTTTCCTAGGAATCTCGCCAAGGGAGTGGGACGAGTGCCATGGCTGCTGGCTTGGAAGAAGTGGATTAATTAAATTGACTATCGTCCTGAATCTTCCATGTAGACTTATCGTAGGTTGCTATCAACTTGAGAACTTCTTAAATCATTTACGTTCTATTTATCGACCTTTGCCCAACATTAAGAAAGACCAAGCAAGGGCTTCAGAAGTAAACAAATAACTGGAAATTTGATGTACAATAATGGTCTACACCTCATGGCTCCTCATCTCAGAAACCAACATCCACATTAACACGGTGATTTTTATAAGCCGGTTGCTGTGTGTTTGTGTGTGTTTTAAAGTGTACACAGGTGTAATTCTTAAGTATTAAAGCTAGTGCCGCATTTAATTCTTGAACTTTTATTTTGCAAACTAAAATCATATGCATTTCCTATGGTGATGGCACATATGGGTAATTTGGTGATGGGAAACCCAAAGGGATTGCAACTTAGATGGAAAAATGCACAAATATGTAAAAATAAACAAATATAAATTTTTAAATGGATAAATAAATAAACCACGTAATGCACGGAGTGATTAAAAAAATCATATGCATTTCTTTTTCTACTGGGTTAAAATAATACCTTATCTTTCTGGATAAAATACTTTATCTTTCTGGCCAGGACTCATTTTGGAGAAGGTATAAACAGATTTCTGTAGTAGCATCCAAAAGTTACCTAAAAGCATATAGAAGACAAAATTGTTACATCGAGGGAGGGACAGTGATAAAAACAGGGGAGAGAAGAGCAAACGGACTGTGGTAAAGATTCACTGTGATTTGGTGGTGGGAGGTTTACCAGGACTACATCTGAGGGGGGAAACGCAAATGTACAAAAATTAACAATGATGTAAGAAAGGTTTGATTTTTAAAGAAAGAGAACATTGGAGGACGCTCTTTAGATTCCATGGCCCCAAATTATACAGTTTTGCGAGCTATTCCCGATTCTTAACCAGCATGTTGGCGTTTTATCCTATAGTTTCCCAATTCCTGCCAGCCTCTTAAACGAGAAAGCTGATTATCAGTCTTCTCCTGGCAGCCTCTCAGAAATGTAGATTTTGACAAAATACATACGGGGGAGGGGCGGGGAGGACCATTCACTTCTATTGTTCGGAGCCTTTCCCTGAAGCACTACTGAATGAGGAGGAAAGGGGGCTGAGAAAGAGGACCAGAACGACGGGTTAGAAACAGAATTCAGCCTCTTAGACCAGACATTTAGCAGTCATGTTTATTCCTCCCCAGGTTCCCATTAAGGAAATCAGTGAAGACTTTAAGTTTAAAATGGTCCACATGCTTGACTGTCGAGGCAGCAAAGAAGCTTGTATACCAACTTTCCAGGAGGCTGTGAAGTACTGTGCAAATGAGTCTAGGTTAATAGAAACCTACCTTTCCCAGGTCCTGTGCTTTGAATGGGAAGGAGAGGTCATTTAAAATCGCCTAAGGGTTCAACTGTTGAAAGGTGGCTATTTCCCCGACTGCTAGGGTTTTATGTGAGCAGGTCTTGTTTTGAATAGGTAATACATGGGAATTGTCCTTTAGACTTCCTAGAAATAAATTTAAGTGTCCCATGACCTTCAGGGTTTTTTTGGACAATGTCTTATCAGCATGTCAAATGGACTAAAGTGCCATGAAGTTCACTTATATCAGTTCATTTTCTTTCAGTTTCACTTCAAATATGTTTGTTTTAGAAATTCTAAAAAGAAAATGCAAATTATTTCAATAAAAAAAGTGACACATTATACTGTTTAATCATTTTCACATTTCACAAACATAAATTTATGGTTTTGTTAGCATAATATTAGAAGAGAAGGTTTATGATTATACTGTGTCATCATACAGAACTATCATCCTTAGGAATAGAAAATCCATGTACTAAGTATATATATTGAAGTTTTAAACCCTATGTAATATTTTGGTTTTAGATCACATTTAGATAGTGGTACAGAATCTTAAGGCAATTTAGGGATAATTAGGCAGCTTCAGGGATTTTAGAAGATTTTAAAGGAGGCTCCAGAGATAAGGACAACAAATTCCAAAGGAGACTAAACAAATACCCAGAACTAGGGGCAGCAGAACATTCCTGGAGTAGGACAATAAAGAAAAAGGACTCTAAGGTAAGGGTTGGGACACAGACTTAGTTCTGGGCACAGGGACCTTAAGACAGTATGTGAGACTGTTACAGGGCAGGGAGGGGACAGCCCTGAAACCTCAAACCTGCCCGCTATAAATAGGTTCTGCCATCCTATTTATAGGATCAAGACAAAATATATAAGACCTTTAATGGAAGGGAACTTTAACACAACTTGTGTGCAATACAGAAAAGACAAAGAATATAGTTTCTAAATCACCCGTCAGATTCTTCTCTTGGCTCTGCTCATGGAACCTCCCCTTTTCTTGGGGACCACCCTGTTACAATCCCCGCTTTTGATTTTTATATCACAAGAATCTGGAGAGGAGACTGAGGAGGAAGGAGCAGGATGGAGAGCCAGAGGACCTGAGGGAGGCACATGGAACAGAGAGACATGTGAAGAAACTGCGTTTGTTTCTTGACCCTGGACTGGTTGAAACAGATGTGGGTGAGAGACCCGTGGGGAGGTTGACTAAGGCAATGTTTATCTTGATTTTAATTTTGCTCTCTTCCTCCCAGACTTGTCTTGCCATACCTGACCCTTTTCCATGTGGGTCCCCTCCAGAAGGCACTTTAGACTTGTGGCGGGCTTTCAGGCCTTGCTCAGGGCCCATCCCTTTTGGGTGGACTTTTACCCAAGAGGGGATGGGTAACTTTGGGTGTTTGATTTAGAAACTGTTCCTTGTGTTTTCTGTATTGCACACAAGTTGTATTAAAGTTCCTTTTCATTAAAGGTCTTATGTGTTTTGTCTTGATGCAGAGCATGGCAGAACCCATTTAGAGCAGATAGGTTTGGGGGTTCAGGTTACCTGCCCTGTAATAAAACCACTGAGAACTAACCAACACAAAGAGACTGGTGGAGCTCTAGAATAATGAGGGAAAGAAGGTCCATATTCCCTGAGACACGACTCCCACTTCAGCTCCCTTGCCTCTCTTTGGCCTGGTTCAACCAGTGTGGGAGCCCCATTTTATTTTGTTCCTTTTCTCCTCAATAAACTTTTTCTTTCTCTAAACTAATTCGATTGCTTGCCTGAGCATCCGCAAGTTCCTGCTGCAGATTCATGAGGCACCAACCCATGGTGGTCTAGAGGCTGGATTTGGCGTTGCCTCTGCAGCCTTGGCCCTGTTTCTGGCTGGGAAACTGGACCTGAAAACCTGATGTTTTGATATCAGTATAAAGGTGCTCCTACTGGCTGACACTTATTTTGTGTGACTGACACTTATTTTGTGTGAAGTCCCTTTCTTTTGATTCTTTCCACTCTTCAATAAGCTAGCATTTGGGCTCTAAAAAATTGGTCACAGAAAATGTAGTTTGTTTGGTTAGTTTGTTGTTCATTGTTGACGAGTAAACTAGAATTTTTAGAGCTGGAAATCACCTTGACAATCTTTAATCCCAGGCTGTCCTTTCACAGTGAGGGCACAGGGACCCACAGAAGTGGTAGTGGCAGAACTGGGGTCCCAAACCTAAACTCTCTCTTGAGAAAGAGAGCCTCCTGAGCTTAAGGGAACTAGTACGTCATTCTCATTATGGAAGTACAGTGATCAGCAAAGAGAGGAGGGAAGATTCTCACAATTTATTTTATATATTTATGCATACAAGAGCTGATGTTTAGGCCAGAAGTCTGGGAGGAAGAGAGAACACACCAGAGACAGAGTCAGAAGCAGAACAGGTGGATCCACTGAAATACACTGCTGAGGGGACCAGCAGAGACAGGAGAGGTCTACACTCTATGTGAGTCAGCTCCCTGGCCAGGAAACAAACTCATGTTGCAGTGGCTGCCCACAGCTTCATAATGCTGAGACTTAACCACTGCACCACCAGGGAGGTCCTTTGTATATATTTCAGATACCTCATAAACTGAAAATTTTGTATTCTCACTCTAAAATTGGTAGAAATTGGTCAATGATTTGTGATGCTAAAATTTCAAAAAATAATAATAATTTCACAACCAGTGAATTACAACCTTAATTTTTAAAAAAAGGCAGGTAAGGCTTAGGTAACAGAATATGGAACACCAACACACACTAAAATCTTCCCTGGTATATTTAAGAGAAGTTTTATTTT